CATTGCACCTGCCATTTCTATCCCTCAGAGTGAGATCTTTTTGTATGTTCCATTCCCCTCCCCAAAATATTATTACAGACACACATTTCAATTTGCAGCTGACAGTTTAGGGTTAAGATATGATTCCAGGTAACAGAAGCCAATGAGAGTACACCCAGTTGATGTTTGTGACATCATCTTACAGTCAGAGTATATAGAATAGCTGAGGTAGCTTTCAGCTTCAGCACCAGTGCCATTATGATGGATGTTTACATCTCTTCATTGAGAGCCAATTATCTCGCTTTTGTGTGAGGCCCAAGGATCACTCATGCTGCCTGCTTGCACCGAGCACTGTTGGATCTAGCTGAACGAATTGTTTTCTCTGTCTCTGGTAAGTGTCTCTCCTGTTTTACCTTCTCTTTCAGAATAAAGGTGATATGTCTAACCTGTATAAGGAATAGCTTTCATAGTAGAGAGGCTCACAAAGCTATATACTATAAAGAAGAGCTTTGCTTAAAAGCAAAATGCTTTAAAAGGAAATGCATTTTAAAGGGAAAGAGGGTCTATAGCTGGAAAACTGTACTTTGTAATGTAACATGGCTGTTTATTTGACACTCCAGATTAATTGAAGAGTTATTAGATTGACAAGGCTGTTACTCGGAACAGTAATATACTGCATGCAATTTTCCTATTGAAATCAAGCATTTGGCAATGAACAGAAGATGGAGAGGCTTAGGAACAGAGATTTTTAAATTAGATCCAACTTTTAAAAATGTTTTGGAATACTTTTGGAAAGATGATTTCCAAAGCCATGCAAATTGATACCACGATGTTCAAGTTTCAGAATGTGGAATAAGTTGTTGGTCACTTTTTTTCCCCTGGTTATCATTGTTCAAAGGGACAATGAAATAGATAATACAATTTGGAAAAATTAATTTACTGTTATTAGCAACACCAATTTTCCTTCAAGTACTTATCAGTGTACAATATAAACTGGTCCCATGTGTATGCAAAATCTAAGGGATGAGGAGGAGGTTGTTATCAGTATTGTGATTCTCAGTGGGGGGTTCTATTTGTGCATCTTCTTAGTTTTGCAACAGAATAAGTACATTTGAAGCTCTTGAACTGATGTGGATTTAGGAGATTAGAAGTGACACTGATGTTGACAAATCAGATACAATCAAGGATTTAATTAACTGAAGGAGTTCAGGGGCTACTGTAAGAAGAATCCAATAGCAGTTAACTAGTCAAGAAGTGTACATAATAGGAGATAATAAATAACTGGCTGTAGTTAATTTAAAAGCCAATGACACTTATTTGAGAATAATTGAAATTCACTAAATACCTACTATTTAATAGCTTTCTGCACTTATTTCTGTAATCTATTATTGTATAACAAAAGTTTTCAATGATGGTATGCATAGCAAACATTACAAGCCTTTGCAGTTTTGAGATTTATTGTTATTCAGTTTTGTTATGAACAGTAGTCTAGGTCTCTGTTAATTAGTTGGGGGGTTTTTGACAAATAATAGTTTCATCTCAAGCATCACTTAAGGAGAGCAGGGCTTCTCAGCTGTGTTGTGCTTTTGCACTTTCTAGTCACTCGATCCCATCTTTGAAGTTCTTAATATTTACCATGTTTATTCATCTCTCTCCATCAATGTCTAAACAATCCCAACTTTGAACCAATTATCAGCCATATATTATAGATGGATGTAAAGTAACATTTTTTTCCATTGAAGCAAATGCTATATCTTTTCTTGTAAATGGCAAGATCCAAAAGTACTTTGTTAAAGTTTAGAATTCATAGCCTAGAGGGGAAAAGAATATTTTCCTTTTTATCCTAATTGCTTTGTGTCATCATGCTAAACTAATTATGTTCTTTTGTCCCTTTTAAAAACATTATGTAGCTTCCTAAGACCAACAGAAAAAAACAAAACAGAAGAAGTGTAGAACTCTGCCTCACCTACATAAATCCGCATATGAGATAGATGCACGTTTCACCAGTTCTTTGTTCCTTCCTAGAATTCATATCAGGGCACAAAGCAAACCAGCCCCCACCCCCACCTTAACTAATAATTGTACATAATTTCAGTTAGCAAGCTTTTAGTGTTACCACAATGTATACTCAAGAACATTACAAATATTCTACAAAAAGTAGTCTCCCACATACAAACACATGTTGCCAGGGATATTCATGTTTAAGGCACTGGTTCAGGAATCTTGTTTATTAAGGATTTTTTTTTAATGAATGTGAATGTTCTTATTTAAATGGAAAGCCGTATGACTATAATGAAGATTAGTGATCATATGGTCAAATAATCAACTATCCAGTATTGTTACTCTCAGGCAGGAAATAAAGCATGAATTTCAAATTTTATTTTTTTGAGGAAGTTAAATTCACCCTGGTAAATCATAGAAAGCCCCCTTTCCTCAGAACTTTATGCTGTGATTTTTTTGGTTGGGTTTTTTTTTTGGAAGAAAAAAAAATTTTTTAAAGGTAGCCCCATAGTTAATCTGCCATTAGCTCACCATTATTCTGGAAAATAGCCTTGAGCATTTCAAACAGAACTTGTCTATTGAGCACGTAGGATGGCTTCCATATACCTGCTCTTGCTTTTGTAGTGCAAGAGGAACTAAAACAGATTATTTTTTAATTTAAGAATAGGTAATTTGCTTGTCTGAGGAGAATAAGGCCATGTGATTTATCATGAATGGATCTACACCTACATCTTCACTATGGCATCAGGTAAGAGACAGCGCCACAACAACAAAGATGTGAATCATGCCTCCTACACAAAGAGCTTAGTTTAACTGCTCATTTTGAACCAAATGCTAAGGTGAAATATGGGGGAAAATTCTTGCTAATGCTCAACAGATGTAATATTCTTATTCTGGATAGTAAATGTAGCCAATCAATATCACAGAAACTTGCTAAATACACTCCTTGTTGTAAATAGAGGATAATCATTATGACTAGTAGCATCATGAAGGAAGAAAAAAATTCTTTGTTTCATAACATGCAGAGAGAAGTTCCTTAGAAATTACAGACTCAAAAGGCCAGATTCTGTTCTGTATGCAGTTTACAGTGGTTGTAACTAAGAAGAGTTCACTTAATCTGATTAATCTCTGGTCCTAAGGGCATGCTACAGCAGATCTTCTGTATATCACCTGACAAATCATCCTAAGAATACAATCCAGAAACCACTGATAATCAGACAACCTTTCACTTCAGCCATTCTCCCTCTCCATCTTGGTTGTACTTTATGCATAAGAACTGCAGAGAAGGTGGCGTGGGAGCTGGCTGATATTTCCCCACGAATCCAACAGAATCCTCAGGTGGTATTTTTGGAAGAAATTATTTTATCTTTTGCTACTTAGTTCACAGAACATGAGATATGGGCTAAACCCCTGTACCAAAGTTTGTGAAATAAATTATTAAATGAAATACAGTGACGCTTATGGCACTTACAATCCAATAATACCTACTATTTAAGTAGGGAGGGTTACCATATGTCTGGGTTTTCCCAGACATGTCCTCTTTTTGAGCCCTCTGATCTCTGTTCAGGTGGGTTTTTTAAAGCTGCCCAAATGTCCAGGATTTTGCTCTACTCTATGGGTGGGAGCAGGGGGAGTGTGATTGGAGGCAGCAGGAAACACAGACATACCTGCCTGCAGCTGTCGAGGTGCACACAGACCCATGTGGTGCCCCTGCTGCCTCCAATCACCCTCCCCCTGCTCCCACCCCCAAAGCAAAGCAAAATCCAGGCGGGGGGGGGGTTTGGGGGCTGGGGATGTGACAGGGCAGGGGGGGAGGAAGGGGTTGCCTGCCCCTCCAGTGGGGGAAAGGGGCAGGGGGGCAGTGGGAAACTGCTATTGTACTGCAGAAGTTTTCAGTAAAGGCACATGTGGCAAGCATTACCATGGGTGACTGGTTCATCCTGAGTCTGAGGGGATGCCAAATCACAGACCAGGGGGATCCCCCCACAGCCGATCCCTCCACAGCTGATTTCCGAGCACGGAACCACCAGCAACAAAACCGGAAGTGCATTTCTGCTGGAACTTCCACTGTTGTGGCTGGTGCTTCCAGTAGGTGCACAGCCAATCTCAGGGGGTGCATGCATGCATGTGCCCCCCCTATATGTCGCCAAAGAGTATTACCAGTCCTTGCAATTTGCAAAATGTTTAAGATTTGTTCCACACACAAGGCAACTTTTAAACAGGAGAGCTTGCAAAGTCAAGTACTCAGGTCTGAAGACATGTCAGAGCTAAGGTTGGCTTTGCAACCTTAATTTGGCTGTCTTGTGCACATGTATTATGAGATACTTATTAACTGTGTGATCACATAATGTCTTTTTTAAGAGAACTGTTCCCTTATTGCAGAGAATGGACATCTGTTTTTTAAAGGGTAGATATCATTTTTTTTCTTTCATATGTCTTTTTTCTGTTTGTGGACCCATGCCATATTTATTGCATACTATTCGAAGTAAAGTTTTGAGGAAAGACTTGTTTTTCCTTGAGCTTTCCTATGATATTCATCACTATTATATCTTAATCCTTCACAAGAGGGTAAAGGATCATTTTGCCTGTGGATTCCAAAGATACTTGCTGACAGAAGGGGAATAATGAGATTCGTGATGAAATGAATGAGGAGCCTTGGGTTTGTTCTAGATGGATGTGCATTTTACAGGCATTAGCTCTTTTTCCGCTTTTCCCCCAACCTTGACCCCACTTCTACATTCCATCCTTTCCTTGTCCTATCCCTACTCCTTCACTCTAGCTCTTTGTTAACTAAATCCTAGTCCAGTCCAATTTTCATTCTTGTCCCAGGTTCCCTTTCTAGCCATCTTAATTCCTGCTTTCACTCCCCACCTCACTTTCATTCTCTCTCTCCTTCCATAACTTCAGTCTCAACTTTGGAATCCAGCCTATCCAAGTTCAGCACCCCAACCCTTATCACATATCTCCCTCTATCCCTATTCCCATTTTCTTTCTCATTCTTCCTTCACTGTTTCTCAACTGTCATCTCCTTGCCTAGGCAGTTCCAGTACTCTCCACTCCAGAGGGTTTTTTGTTTAATTGAAGTCTCCCATATTTTTTTCACAGTTGCACTCAGATTTTCATAACTGACTCCCTTTACCCTTATCCAGCTACTTCCAGCATCCCATCCTACCATTTCGCTCCAGTACTAATCTCCTGTAGTGTAACTAAGAATGGACAAGCAGGGCACCAACCCCAGGTGCCAACTTAGAGTTTGTGCCATAAGGGGTGGGGGGGAGGGGGATCCATGCCATAGCAGCAACAGCCAGCATAGAAAGAAGTACAGCAGCAGCTCATGTAGAGGGATGCCCCGTGGCATCAGTAAACAGTGCCTTCCACCACCTCCTACTTAGTTTCTCAATTTTCCGTAATCCAAGTCTTACTGGAGATGTTATCAATCACCCTATGCCTTTACCTCCCTCTGTCCCGGCTTGTCTGTCTTCTGCATTTGAATTAGATCAATACTTTCTCCTTTCGTTGCCATTAGGGAGGTCACTGAAGCTATGAACAGGTGCTGAATTTGTCCCAAGACAAGTTGTACCAGTGTTGGTCCCAAAACAGAAATGCCCTAGGATTGGTGTGTACACACATTACCCATGCAATTAGAAGTTAGTGAGTAGCTGAATGCCCTGCTACTTTTTTGCCATTGATTCAGTGATGTAATCCTAGGACAACCATTTAGATGAACTTCAAGACATTCTGAGACAAACTGCTAGCACTTCTTATCTCATGAACCTTTTTAGGGTTTATCCCAGGGCAAAAGACACAGACATATGAATGACTCAACTTTGCCCTGGAATAATATTGTTTATCCTGGGAAAAATGTGACATTCTTTGTAGCCAAAGGATATATAGGAAGTATAGGATCTCTGCTCTCATTTCCAATATTTACCATGGAAGCAGCAATTTATGTTCAATTTCTCTTTTAGGACGGCTTATGCTCTGTTACTAGCCATGGCACATACAGTCTGTTTAGCACTAGTTACTGTAAGAGGCAGGAACAGGCTCAGTGAAGAAGAATCTTTGAAGACTTTAGCAGCTAAAATCTCCAGAGACAAACCTGTGATGTTTTTAAAGACTTGTGACTTAAAGAGATTTGGGTGCTTTTTCACAGACATGATAAATTCAACAAGCCATAGTTTTCATGCCTTTTGGGACCCTGACATACATTTTCTCTGGTGTGATTAAGGTGTTAATCATGCCAGAAATAGCAATTGGCTAGATGGTCAAGAATTCTTGGTGTCATAAAATTACAATGCAGCCAAGTACAGAAATTGTATTTGAAAAATGTGTAATATCTTTGTGGCTGGTTTGTATGGTGTCATAACTTGTGGCATGCCATGCAGGGACTGCCCCACAGCTGGACCACCCTGGGGCCTGAACTGGTCCCAATCCGCTATCAGCCGGTAGGGATAGCCTGGGAGTTCATGCCCCAAGGCAGTCCTTGGTTAGATAATGGTTGATCAGGATGGCCCCAGGGTTCCAATCCAGTCCTGGAGCTGATGGGATCTTGGGATGACCCCAGGGATGGAGCTTCAGGGTGATCACTTCCAACCACCTACACACCAGGATTGCCCCAGGACTTGAGCCCTGGGGCAGTCCCATTCTGCTGATGATCAGCTGATCATTAGGGCTGTGCAAAATGACATCATTTCATTTTCACTTGTGTTTCAACATTTCGATGGGACAGTATTTTGTATTGTTTCATTTCATTTCAAAGTGTTCCATTTCGTCAAAACTGTTTCGAGGTTTTTCCCATAGGCTATAATGGGGAAGCACAAAACTGCCTATACCTTTGTCATTTCTTGACATATTTGAATGGAAACTGCAAGAATGGTATCTGCTTCCGGGAGTATAAAGCCTGCCAAGTTTCAAGGAGATAGGTGCAGGAGTTTCTGGGAAACTGTACCTCAAACTGTTGACAAGGAAAAAGTGTGACATGTCTGACTGTTTGTGTGTGTATTGAGGCACAGCTGTTTTTCCATCCCTCCCCCAGAGCACTGGGATTGGAAGGGACCTCAGGGAAGGATCACAGTCACTGGCCAACTACACAGTCAGTATCAGAGCAGTCCTTCCATACTCTTCCTCCTCCCTCTGCTTAGTTTCTGTTTCCCTGCAAGCAAGCCCAGCTTTGAAACTCGAAACATTTCAAAACTTTCAGAATGTTTCCACGTCCCTCATTTTGTTTCGAGGTTGTTTTGAAGCCTTTCATTTCATTTTGATTTTTCTGTTTCAAGTTTGAAAAGGGTCAAAACAGCATCAAAATGAAATACCTGGCAAAATTTCACATAGCCCTACTAAGCATTGGCTATCTCAGAGGACTACAGGGAGATGCAAATAGCCCCATGGGCCCCTAAAGTCAACCAATGATCAAGTGACTGTCAGACAACCAACTTGCTGGAACCTGGGATCATAAGTCCCCTGCAATATGGCATGGTTGGGATCTCATGCTCCATCATACAGCTGTGCCTCCTGCCATGCACTTGCAGCGTGGCAGGAAGCAGGATTGTTGGGATCACACATCCAATCCTATCATTTTTAATTACATGCATGTCAGGGGCATTGGAGTTATTTTTTCCCAACCTGGTATCCACTTTCCCCACCTTAGTCAGCTTTAGGCCTCTGATTTATAAAGTTTCAGACTAAATTATTAAACTTTTCAAAGTTCTAAGCAATTGAAATGGGGATTTCTAACTGAAACTGTAAAAT